TTTGTACGAAGACACTGAAACATTATTTTAACAGTGAAGAACTCTCCTTCTAGAATTATATATACGATAGTAAAAAATATTAAAAAAAAATATAATTATTTTCGTTTACTCTGTTTTACAAACTTTATTTTATTATTCATTAGCTTATACTTTTTCTCCTTTGATATACATACACTTTTCAATAATACTTAATTATACGTTTTAAAAAATAGTTTTTACTATATTGTAGTGAATATAATTTAGGTTAAGTATTCAAGAAAGATCGTAAACAGAAAATATAATTATAGTAAAAGCTTTAGGTCGCGTTATTTTATTTTTTTACAAAATTATTGCAATTTTTATAGTTAACTATGTAATATAAAATTAACAACAAATATCCTTAAATTAGATAGTGTTAGAGTGTACTTTAATTCACAATAAAATTCCTTAATAAATAAATTCATACTAACATTAATTAATTTTAGGGCTAAAATTTGGATATACTAGGTAAACTTTTGTATAATAACTTTTATTGGTTCAAAAATAAATGTTAAACTGACATGAATTCGTTATGATTGATATATTACGAATAAAACCTTTTATGATTATTTCAGTAATTATTTAAGCATAAAATACGTTTACTAAAATAGATAGCAGGATAAGATGGATAGGAATTAAATTTAGCTATTTCATGTCCTTCCTTTCACAAAAAATTCTATTAATGATACATTATGGATAAAATGAAGTACATCCTTGAACTGCGAAATTATCGGACGAGTGCGCTCATGAATTTCAAAATTGATTGAAGCATTGATATTAGATAAAAAGAAAGAAAGAAAGAAAGAAGGAATCTTTCACTATAAGAAAATTTATCAGACTTATTATTCGGAAAACTTGAATATGAATAAAGAGTTTCTATAATTAAATATTAAGCACACGTCTTAAAGACCATTAAAATTTTATGATTCCATAAAAAATAATGTACTCACAATATTTTTTAATTAGGACTTGGTAAATACCACTTGCGTCGACTACTATAACTTTATACAATAATAAAATACTAAATAATTAGGTTGTGTAAAAATGTAATCAACTTATAAAGTTTAAGAATCGTTAATATTTAATGATAAAAGAAATTCTTACCATTCGATATTAATAAATTATCACTGCCAAGTTACAAATCGCATTAAGCATATACATAATTATAATCAATAATGAAAGTTCTCATTCAAATGACAATTTTATAAGCATTTTATGAACAACTGCAAAATTATTATTTGTTTTTTTAAACGAGCTCGTGAAAACTTCGGCCGCGAAGATTTTTCTGCTATATTTTCATCTCTTAATCGGGCAATCGTTCTATTTTAGTAAAAATTTCGAAATCCTTTAATTAGTCAAGGCATTGTACTTTAACAAAGAGGAATATTTTTCATCCGATAAAGTTATATTTATTAAATAAATCTTAGTTACAATGGCAATGAGTATTCTTCTTTTCGAATGCTATTCTCGTCTAAATTAAAAATACATAAGATGAATGTTAAGTATGAAAGTGATACTCATAAAAGATCTAGCCAATGTTTATTAAATAAATCCGTCTAGTTCTTTTTAATATTCCGAAGGCATTTACACAGGATAATTTCCTCTTTCCATGAATATACTTGTAATACTCGCAATAATACGGCGCAGTCGCTATTTCTGTCTCTCTCTCTCTCTCTCTCTCTCTCTCTCTCTCTCTCTCTCTCTCTGTTTGTCTTTTCTCCGATGGCTGAGAAAGGCACACGCGCGCGAACATACACGTCGCTTTACTAGAACAATTTTCAAAGTTTCACCGTCAGCGTACGTGTGTGTTCATGTCCCCTCTCATAAATAAAATAATAAAGAAAAAGAGGATAATAAGGGACATAGCATATTGCTTTGGTAAAGTACTGAAAATGAGAAAAACCGGCAAAAAAGATGTCACATCGCCTCGTGTTGCTAGAGAGAGAGAGAGAGAGAGAGAGAGAGAGAGAGAGAGAGAGAGAGTTAAGAGAGCTGGTCAAACTTGTCCTCGCATCCTCTGGGCGCTCGTTTTCACGTTATTATCGAAACGCGCACACATACAACATGTGTGTGTGTGTGTGTGTGTGTGTGTGTGTGTGTGTGTGTGTGTACAGATTGCCATTATCGTATCGGTAGGTGATAGCGAGCGTGTGTACATGAGAGGCTCTAGGCTTGCCTTCGCGTTCCTTGCCAATCGATCCAACAGCCGATAGCGTGTGCCTGCCTCTGTGTGTGGGTGCGAGGGCGCGCGCGCCTTCACCCTGGACCCTTTCGAGACCTTCTACGTGTGCACTAAGGAGACCTTCGTGCATCTCATGCGCCGTCTTACCACATACGCAAAATTTTAACCCCTTAGCATTTGAGTTGGCGGCCGTATGGATGGGAACGATGGTTGAATACGCTAATCACGATATTTTATTGTTTCTCAGGCGTATGACGAACTTTAAATTGCATGATTCACGACTTGATTACTTTATTTTTATTTATTTGTGAGCTTGAGCGTTTGCGTCCACTACTTCTTTATTCAAAATTTTACTCTCCTGTCACTTGTATGAACTGATTATTATATAACAGTCCCTGAGCATTATTATTTTATATAATAATATTAAGTATTATTATTAAGCGATTATTATTATTATCCCTTAAAAGCTCTTGTTATTTATTTTTCATTTTAATTTAAAAGTTTTTTATTTTTTATATTAACAAGTGGGTATAGAATTTGTAAAAGGCTGCATACATATGCGTATGCAGAACAATTGTATTGATTGTATAAATATTACTTCAGAAGGTATTCATTTTCAAAATTACAATGTTTAAAGCAATAAAATGGCATTCATATAATCACTGATATATATATATATATATATATATATATATATAATATTTGAATTCACATTATAAATAGGGATGAAAGAAAATTTAATTAAACTTTTTATTTCTATTTTGTAAATAAGTATTTTCGTATTTATGCATATATATTGGAAGTTATTCGTTATTTCCATTTTAATGTGTAAGAAGTATGTATAAAGTTTGGTATATTAAAATTTCTTGTTTCGACAATTATGGAATTGAATTATTTTGAAATTACGATGCGCACAAAAAATATTTCGAACAAAATTAGGTTTAAAAAAGTTTTGCATCGAACAACAGTGTAAATAAATATTTAGTTTAAATAAATGCAGGCATCGCGTTAAATATAAATTAAAATGAGAAGACTTACGATATTTATAATTTATTCATAAGCTATTTGGATTTAAAATCGTTACGTTAGAAATAATAGTACTTTTTTTTCTTTTTTTTAATGAAAATCTTTTTGTTCATTGCATTAACAAAAGATCTTTTATAAAAACCACTAATAATAATGTTTGAAAATTACTTTATAGTTTGAAAATACTCTGTGCATAAATACAAAGGGAAGCTTTAATAAATGTATCTAATATACTTATATAAATATATATATACAATTTACTTTTAATTATTATGATTATACATTAATTTTAATTGATAATAATATAGTTAGAATTTTTTGAATTATTGAATTTCCCTTTCAAACGTAGATATGAAAAAGAATTTTTAATCGAGTTCTCTTATATGCAACGTAATTCAAAAGTTAAAAGAATTGTGCAAATATATATATATATATATATATATATATATATATTAATTATAAGGCAATATCGATAAAATTACAAATGAAAGAAATATTAAATAAGAAATAAAGTACTTAAAAAGTGAATAATATCCTGTATGGAGTTTCTAATAAAACAATAATTTATACCCAAAGCAATATTGAGGTAAAAAACCTTCGAATATTTTGAAACATCATGCAACACTATTTTTTCATAATAAAAATCATAATAGATAATAATTCATGCCATAATCACTAAATTGTTCAAATTAATTGGCTGGTTTTCCGTCTTCGGAGAAATATACATTTTGTGCTTATTCATATGGTGCGCTATTTCCTAATAAAATTAATTTAGATTAAATGCTCGAGGTGTGTAAGCTGAAGCCGAACAATAAAGTGTCTAAGCTGTATTTCATTTTCGAGATAATTACACTCTAAGCAAAATATGCGAAATACAAGAGTACGCTACAATGCTTAATGATGTTGTAAGGATATATGGGGCTTATCAATTGAACGGATGAGGGAAAGCAGCACGCCTATTCATAATTTTCTATCGATGTCGCGTTGATCCTCGATATCTTCCTTATTGCCTAAATAATTTACTTCCCTATGAATTAATTGCAAATTGCGGCAAAATTCTCTTGCTCCGAGTGCTATTTTTTTAACAGAGGTCGCTAAGACACACAGAGAGAGAGAGAGAGAGAGAGAGAGAGAACTCGTCGTTAAACTTTACAGCATTCTCCGATGCTCTAAAGCTTTCCCGCAAATCATTAACGTCGCTGCGTTTATTTTCCTTAAGTAAAGCTCTATCTTCGGAAAGCAAGCTCCATTATAATAAATAATGATCCACGAGCTTTATCGTCCCGTACGAAGAAGCTCATCTCCCCCCCCCCCCCAATCCAAATAGACGTAACGGCCCGAGTACATTTACATTGGTTATTCCGACCGACAATTCTCCGTCCTGTGCATACCTTACCAACCAATTTATCAGCCCAAATCAACAAAGGAAGCCCTGGTTTTATCGCTCTTCCCTCGCTCACAACTTACCGCCCACTCAAAGGCACAAGCTTTAGACTCGGCGGTCCGAGTACATTTGTCATTAATCGCTAAAGAGCAAAGTCGTGGATCGTGCGCAAGTGCCCGATCCTCCCGGGGCTTCTTTGTGCGCGCAAAAGAGGACCAGTGACGGGAGGGTGCGTCGAGCAGAAGCTCTAAAAACTCGGCCAAGTAGCTGAGAAATGTCGTCGTCTCGTGTAGGAGGGTAGAGCGTCGACAAGGGAATGTTTGCAAAAATAGCCGTGACGAGGTACGAGTGCCGAGCGCGCGAGCAACGAATATCGTATGATTTCGAGCCGAGAGTACTGCACGCGTACGTATCGATGAAGATGGCCGACGAGGAGGATCCCAAGGTTCGGCCAACTGGCGTACGTATAAACTTTGCTGATTGGATTTGGCGAGGTGAAGATAGTGTCAGAGGGGTGAGTGAGTCGACGATTGACTGGTCTGTTCGTTGGCAATTGTAACCATCCCAACAACTATCTTGAGACTCGTGATTTTAGTAAATGTTAAACGAGAGAAGAAAGCGAAGCAATTCGGATAATCGAAAAATATGTATTAATTGAGGTTTAACATTAGTATTTGCACGTCATATTTAGCTTACGTAATAATCTCATGCCAATGGAAAGTTTCGATTTCGAGTCGCTCGATAAGTTGCGATGTAATTTAAGATTTAAGAGTTGACGAATTGCGTAATCCAAATTAAACGGGAATCTCATAGGCATATTGAGTAGACTAATTCGTCGATTTTTTTTTTTTTTATTTTTGATGAAAGTTATTTTACAATTTTTCCACGCTTTTTAATCCGAAACAGTAGTTTAATAATTGATCGATTAAATTGTATATTTTTCATTAATTGGTAGTATGGAATGACGAACGAGGTATTTAGCGAGTAGTGTTTACCGAAACCCAGAGCTTTTGAAAATGAAATGCAAACTCAGCATTGTTTATTTATTAAAAAAATTTATGCGTTAGATTACATTATCTTTAAAATTTGGATTTTTTCTCGACAGGTATCATATAACAAATATCACACACCCGTCCGCTCATACATGCGTCGCGATAGACGTTCAATTCGATTTTTATAAAATTTCGTTAATAACCTTTACATAGACGACTAATAACATTATTTAATAAAATGATAATAATTTCGAAAATTTTCTCGACTACTTTATCGGCAACGAATGCTATGGTTTAATAATAAATTGGCCAAATTTGTCTTATATTATTGTCAAACCGTAGTAAATGGTATTTAGTGTCGCGCAGAAAAATATTATGTCGCTTATCATAGTTTCGTGAAAGTTACGTATGCGAGAAAAGTACTTTTCGAATAGAATAATTTTCGTGACGCAATATCATTAATTCGTGAAAACAATAGCGCTCTATCTTTATATATCTTGACAAAACTTATTAGATTATCGCAAAAAAATTACGCCATATTGCCCTAGATATGCTATGTTGCACGTTGCAAATAATTTTTGCAAATGTTCATCGCGCTCCAAAGTATTTTGCATAAAGCAGCGAACGTCGCAAGCTCTAATAAAATGAAACATTATACAACGCACAATGTAAACGTTGTTCGGACCTCGTGACGTAACACACAACAGCCATCCAAGTCATTTTCACATTCTCTCTTACATGTAATATTTATACGTAAAGCGTACATTGGATGCGACTAGGACTCTGCCAAAAATTAGCCATGCCCCGCGAAAACAAAAACAAAAAAAAAATTAATTTCTCACGCATCTCCGCGAATAGCGCAATATCGGCCCAAGGGCATGACAAAAAATTACAAAAATGCAATCAGTCCTAAGCGTCGAGCAATCCCACCGTGCCATTAGTCTTAATCAGGCCGAGACGAGATCGCCTCGTGCCCGCATTGTCGACCTTCGATAATCAATGACACGTCGCCTCGATAAACCAAAGTACGGAAAATATCGCAAGCGAAATCTAGCGGAATAAAGCGGGGCCAACGAGAAGTAAGACGGAAGTCGCCGAGCCGATTCCGAGTTCCCCCATGACAGAGAGAGAGACAGAGAGAGAGAGAGAGAGGAGACAGCCATCGACACGCAACGACGATCGCAATATTATACGAGCACTGCCAATAAAAGCAAAACAAACAAGAGAAAACAGAGAGAGAGAGAGAGAGAGAGAGAGAGGGAGGGAGAGAGAGATGAGCAAAATTGACAAAGCTCGTCCCTAACGAGTATCGTGTGCCTGTTGCAGGTGGCGTGGGGTACGGCGCTGATGGAACTGCAAAGTTGGCTGATCTACCACCTCGTGGCCGTGAGCGACTGCAATCAAGGTGCGTTATACGAGATATCGTTTTGTCCTGCTCGTCCTGTCGTCCTCTGCTGATCTTGCGCCCTTTGCCTCGCCCGCACGTTCGCCCGGGTTATTGACCACTGGCCACGGCTTCACAAGATCGTCGGACTACCTCGTTGCCCAAAAGTTTTCTCCCACATCCCCTCGTTTAATGTGCTCCGGAGGAGATTAGCTCGGACCTCTCGCTTCCCTTGGCTATCGAGAGGATTCGGTTTTTCGGCCGCTCGGCGTCTCCTTCCTATCCTCTCTCAGATAACATCCCGAGATAACGACAATCGCACCGGCGTTCTTTCCTCGTGAACATTTACTTGTGGGTGGCAACGGTGCTTTCCACATTTCCCATTATCATTCGCGTTCACGTCCAATTTTCCCTCCAATGTTCTTCTTCTTTCTAGCTTTTAAGTGTCTGTTATATGGTCTCCTTAGAGTTTAATAGACGTTCCATTGTAATGCGTAGTCGACTAGTAATTGTAATAAAATTTTCATCGGCCTTACTTCATTCATGAAGTTTTCATCGCTGCCTATGACAATACATGCAAGTCCATTCATCCATTCATGTAACATGAGAATAAATACAGAATATCGCTCGATAATATTTAAACAAATTATATTATTTCATTTCGGCATTACAATAGTCTGTACGTTGTCAAAGTATTTGACTCGCGTGTTGTCTTTGAAAGGCCATTTTTCAAAGTTAATGCAGCAGCAACGCGATAGTACATTACGTATATTACGTGTCAAATATTAAATTTGTATAGATAACGAAGTTTGTGCGCTAAAATTATACGGATGTACTTGCTGAAGTGGACGTTCAAACTTTTGATAAATAATTACACGTCCGCATACGTGCATATATATATATATATATATATATATATATCGCAGTAAAATAATAAAAGGTCATTTATAAAGTAACTCGTCGTTGAGCAATAATTATTCGTAATTATCGAAATCGAGACTCTTAAATACGGGAAATGAACTCGAGAGCGTAACAACAAATTTTTCCTTCCTTTTCTTTCATTATACATGGGGGATAAAACCCAATTTTTATTTTAGTTTCTTGAGTTGTGTTAGCCCACGTTCGGACACACCGCTGCACCATTATTTAGTTTCTGATTTCATTATCGCCCAAGCAAGGATACTACGATCTACCCATGTTCGATGGTAAGTAGATGAACATTGCGCTTATCATTGTGCATTCACGCGTAGTTGTATAAATGATTTGTGCATGGCCATTAATGCTCGTCCTATCTCAATATTGCATTGATCTTTTTATAACATTAGTATGCATAAGGTAGTCCGCGTTATTCTCTCACACTTGCGTTGAATAAGTACGAAGTTACTGGCAATCGATATTATGTAAGTGTATTTAGTTTTGTTTTTAGCTTTCGTCACATCAGACAAAATAACTGCCAATTGTATGACTAATAAAGAGGAGATGATGAGTAATCGCTGTGACAATTAGATAAAGTTTGGCTATGCTCGGTTTAGGACGAGCGTGATAATTGATATTGGATTGGCAATTAAAATGTGTGTAAGCTAACAAAAACAGAAAAAAAAAAGAAAAAAAAAAATTATTCAACAATGTCGAATGAAATGAGTGTATAGGAATTGCAAATTAATATATTTAAGTATAAATTTCAAAGTGCAATCAATAAGAATCTTTCAAGAAATTAATGCGTCATCGAGAGCCTTTATAATTCTGTATATCTCAAGATCCTTAATAACGTCCTTCTTCAAATAAAATTATTTATATGTATATATATATATATATATATATATATATATAAATTTGAAGACTTATGTAAAGTACAACGATATTATTTTAATTACTTAGGATCGATCTTGACATAGTTACGATTTCAATGCCTCCTGCCTCGAAAGGTGAAGTTAATCAGTCTTATAAGACTGAGTTTTTAAATATAGTATACAATTAATCTAATTTTATACATGCAGCAATTGAATCGATTACATGAAATTGTGCTGTTTACAAATCGACCTTTCTCAATTCAAATAGCATAATTTTCAAGCATAATGATATAATGACACATAATAACACATAATGACATTACTGTATTATCGTTCTAAGAACGAATCTGCAATTACCGTATTTTACATTTATAAATACTTACTTTATTACTGACTAAAAATTATAATTCACGCGTTTACGTTACTCGTTAGAGATACTCTATAACTGTCTACTTTCATTGTCCTATACATATTTTATACAAAACTACTATTTCAACATTAAAAAGGTTAAATTCATAAGAATATGTATTGTAACAACATGCACACTCGATTCAATATTTACATTTAGTTATGATTTAGGATAAGATCTTAGATAACACATAATTTGTCAATGAAAATTAATTTCTGTTTTATACATACAAGTTAGTACTATTATATCATGTGAATTATTGAATTTAGAAGGAATAAAACTTTAAAGGATGAGGTGCGCTTGAGACTCGTAAATATGTTCGATCGTTTGATCCAACATTGTTAAACGGAGATATAATACTTGACTTATTAGAGTAAATATTCCATATTAAAATTAGTCGTTCTATAGAAAAAAAACAAGGCACTTGATCATTCGACAATTCAAAATTATTCCTGAAAATAAAGAAAATCTATTATTGTATTTTTGACATTAACGAAGACAAAAAAAAGTACAAACTTATCAAGATATGCATCATCAAAGATAAGATTAAATTTAAAATTTAAGAAATTTTAATTTATTTATTTATTTTGAAACGAATAGTATCGTTAGATTACGTTTGCGTAAATATTTCTTGTAAAAAGAAAAAAAGAAAATAAAGATAAAAGAAAATCTAATTTAATTACGTGCAAATTTGCCATTCTTCAAGCACTTAATTAATTTTTTGTTCCCTGTAATACACATTTATTTCTACATATTTGTGAATCTTATTTATATGTATTTGGCTCGCTCTAAAATAACGGATATTAAATCCTTATAAAAATTCGAATTCATTAGCAGCAAGATGACAAATGAATCGGTAATACGCCAAAAGGAAAAGTGAAATGACAAATGTTTTAATTCGCCGAATCGTCGAAGAATTATTCGCGCGTCTCGCAATAGTCGAGGGCTTTGAAAAAAGTGTCGTGAGTGGTGGGAGGTGGGGAGATGGGGCGATGGATGATGATGATGATGATGATGGGGAGGGGGGTGGGGGTGGGGGAGAGGAGAATGGAAATAAGTTTAAGGAAAAAATAGATAAGCAAAATTACGAGAAATTCATGCTTCATTGATATGTGCGTAGTGATGCAGTCCGCGGCTACAGGTGGTGGTGGAGTATATCCGGCGGGACCTAGTGGTGGCGGCGGCGGCGGCGGCGGCGGTGGTGTTGGAACCACAACGACAACGACGATGACGAGTAGCAGGGCACGGGACCTCGGCCTCAGAGCCCAGAAGAAACTGCTGGGCCGTTTCGCTGCATCGAACGCCGGCAGATCGCTACTCATCGACGATGCAACGACCTCCTTATTGGACAACCTCTTCAAGCTCATGGAGCGCGCGACGAGGAAAAGTCAGCATCTCGATAAGAAGCTGCCGGAGAAGGTGCTCAAGAATATCGTGAAGCTGTCGATAAAGGTAGGAGGAGAGGTAGCTGCTCGCCTTAGAGCTCCGAGCTTTTTCCTTTGCTTCAACGTGGTTCAATGAAACATTGCATTGCCGAGCTTATGATGAAGCTATTATGGGAGTCGTGAAATCGATCATAGTCTTCATTTTTCAAAATAGTCACTTTTCTATTGTTGAAATATGATTTACAGTGTCAATTGTATTAAACTTATTATATTTTTTAATGTACGGTAGTGATTGGTTGAGCTTCGGTCTTACGATTCCACTATGCCAAGCTTACGCGTCTTACATAACAAATTTCACAATACATTTTTTTAATATTGTCATCCTGTATCCAATGATCTCTTTTCTATAGATATTATTGCTATGCTGACTGTTTAAGCTTTTTCGCCACTGATTTCTAGTATTTACGTTAACGAGCTCGAGATAATAAATCCTAAATCGAAGAATTCAAATCATTCGTTTATCAGACTACATAAATTTATGTACATTACGTAGGCGCGAACGATTCTACTTATTAATATCATTGATTGCTGCAACGCTCTATTTCATGATCCACGAGTATTACGTGTGCAAGTGACTGAAAGGGAGACCTAAATAAATCTCCGACTTTGTAGTTTGTAGTTTAATAACTTGAACGTGGTATTCAATAGTACTCGACACCGACATACATGAAATCCTCAAGCGCTCTGTAATTGAGAAAGCAAACACTTGATACGGATACCTGAAGATTTTAAATTAAAAGAAATATCGAATAGATTTTAACAATGAGTGTATGTCCCGTATGTGCAAATAACTACCTCTCAGATACAATTCCATGGCTTATAAATCACGACCCTTTCAACGTATCTTTAAAAGTATGGCCACAAACCTTTTAAATAAATAAGCTTTCACCTACAGTTTTATCTCCTCAAGTTTACAATCCATTGTCCTCCAACTTGTTTTTTTTTTTTTTTATGGGTTAAAATGATATGGTTATTGTAATGTAATTCACGAATATATTGCTTACAAAAATTAAAAACAGAGAGAGAGAGAAAAAAAAAAGAAAAATCATTCCTAAAATTTTTGTATTATCTACAATTATATTAATTATTGGAAGAAATTTTCTTTCGTACAATGTTTCAATACAAGCTTTACGCTACTTTATTTTTACATATTAATTTTTGGTAAATTGACTATAGCATAATTTATATAAACTGACTTTACAAACGAATATCATTATTTAGCATTAAGAAGAAAAAAAAGGACAGATTATATCAATATAAAATTCATCATAGAAAATACTTTATACTGATATTCTTAATAATTGATAATCGAATATCTATGATTGGGTAAAAGTTTTATAAAAGATCCAAAAATTTTGTAAATTCGTAGAAGTAACTGGGAATTGAATCTAGTAAGTCATTCCATTTTTACGCAGCTTTACTTCTTCATCTTCTTCATCTTCTTCTTCCATTTTTTTTTTTAGCTCTCTTTTCATATTAAATTATACTTTCCTTTACATTAATCTTCTTTACCATATTGATCGTATTGCTTTTACAAGGTATTTTTTTTTTATGGATTTTCTTCATGTTAATAATGGTTCTTTGTTAATCATTATTTGTTAAATTTTTAAAATACTAAATGTACATTAATAATTATTCTTAATAGTCTTAAAGTGTTATAATAATTTTTAAATGTTCAATAATCGAATGCTTTGATTAATGTTAAAATTATATTTCTAATCTGCACTTTGCATTAATGTGTAAATTTAATAACGTATACTTATTGCATATATTTTATAAAATATTTTATTGCAATGTAATTAAATTTTATAAAAGTAAGGAGATTTCACTCGGTAGTATTAATAATTAACTGTGAAATTTCAGCTTTGTTTAATTAATTTATTTACGGCATAATTCGACATAATGTCTCACGAAAATATCTTTAATTTATTAATATATATATATATATATATATATATTTTTTGGTAGATTTATACTTCTATTAAGAAATTATATTTTTATAGATACATACATATTGAATATACATGTAATAATGTTAGGATGAATGTAATTAACGAACAAATTAAAAATGATTGGTTGAAATTTCATTTTTTTTTAGTTTAATCCCTACATCGCACTCCTGTCATTGACGTATTTAAATTTATAATTTTATTTTAAATAATCAAGAATAATAAATAAGGATGGAGCTATTTATTTTGTATTGATTTGACAAAAGCATGAATTTTTATTATAGAATACGTTTATACTCTCGTAAAATAAATTAAAATAAGAAATAAATAATACATTCCACTGCTACTGTAATTAATTTGTTATTTTGCATTGTAATGTTAATTTTAAGATTAATCGCGGCTTTTTCGGAGATAATTCCGTTTGAGCACGGTTATAAAATTAAACTTTAGCATACAAAAGTATGCAGACATATGTCAGCAGCGAAACAAAGTCAGCATTCGAGAAAATTTTATGTTCTTTAATGACTTTCATTAGTTATAGAAATTTTGTAAGCAGCTCGTAGAAATAACAATTATTGTTTCCATTCCCGTACTACTCTCTTTCGCAAAAGTCTATGCAATCGATATAAACCTTTTCGATATACTAACACAAACATCGACGTGAATTCCAAAGACAATAAAGTTGTTTATTTCGCTGAGAGTGTAATGGAAAATCATCATAAAGTTGATTAAAATAAAGTCACCCATATCGCCTATAACCTTCAAAGCATCGCAAATTGTAATATTAATATTCCTTAAAATTAATATTCCTAAATAATGTAGAAAGGTTAGTTGCGCGCTAAAATACGTCTTATCGTGTCTGGTGGGTGTCTGGTAGGTGTCTGATAATAAATCCAAACCCAAGTGAATTCTTAGCTCTTAACGATGTATTTGCCAACAGATCGGCCTGCTACACCGGAACCAGCAGCTAGGCCCAGGTGACGCTGGCCACATCGAGGATGTTCGTCGCGCGCTGCGCTCGACGGCCATGGCCGTCCTCTCCTTCTACGAGCTCGATTTCAGCTACGAGCGCTCGTACCTGGTGAAATCGCTCGAGCGCTGTCGAGCCTCGGTCCAGGCCCTCATCAGGCCTCATCTCACTGACAAGTCGTGCGAGCGTTGCGACCAGATATTCGACTTTCTTGTCCATCCGGACTTCCTCGAAGCCGTTTTTGGACAAGACTCCGAGCTCAGGACGACCCTCGCCGCACTCACCGTCGACATTAACAAGGCCCTGGAGACGGGACAACTTTGACTCCCCGTGCACGATGTATATACCAGCTCGCAGGCGTCGCCCAGGGGACGATCGCGTTTATTTAGATTAAGAGTCATTGGCACTGTTATGAGCAGTCTAGATGAAGACGATACTAATACTTTCCGAGCGGTCATGCAAGGGCTTTTCACGCAGGCCAATTTGCTCTCGATTGGGACTCCGCCCACCGGATCTTTTATCATGTCGGAGTTTTTACTTTAGTTGCTTTAATCATCTGAACTAGACTGAATGCACTAGCGATTTGGCACAAACTTACCAAGAATAATGTGATTCTCCGTCACATTTAATGATTTAACCCGACATAGACTAAGACGCCAGAACATATAGTTAATTGACCAGTTGGAGGTAAAAAATCCGCTTTTATCAATGTAATTACAACAATAGGTAGATGAGGTGGAAATCTTGTTGAAGACGCTAGTTTAGCGCTTGAATAAAGTATCGATTTGCATAATAAATTGCGGAAGCGATGGAATGGGATTAATTGTAAATACACTGACGAATTATCGATTAAAGATTTGTCATACATATGCCAAAAGAACATGTACCAATGCGGATACGGGAACCGATAATAACCGTTAAAAGCACCGAAAAAAATATACATACATACATATACCCATATATATATATACATAGACTATCTTGCTAATTAAACTATATTATTAATCGTAAATGCATTATTTTATTGCAAATGTCATTTATTAACTTATTGAGAAATATGTGGAAACTATATTTACAATTTAAGATGAAGAATCGAGATTATTTAACAGAATTATAGTCGCATTATTTCCAACTGTCTTTAAAAATGTTAATGTCGATGAAAGAAAGAGAATAAATACTTCGAAACGAGGACTTAACTCCATACGTAACAACTAATCTACGTAATAAGGATAAGCGATATTTATTTATTTATTGAAACATATACACGTATACTAATATCAAATTAAATCATATCAGAAAGTTTTATTATTTAAAAAATGAAGCAATACGATAATCGATAACAAAAAATTGTTCGAAATCAAACGGAAATAATAAATGCAAAATTTATTATAAATTAATTATCAACATATATTTGAATATTAAACTCAATTTGCTTTGTGCTGACTTTTGATCTAATTAGTATATAAAAAAAAATTCTATTTATAATTGCTATACTAGTAAAAATTTATTGAAAATTATTGGTAATTTAATTTTTGTTATCAAGCCAAGTACTTCTCATATTGATTACATTTTTCTTTATTCAATTAATAATTTAGTAGACTTAATGATATCATACTAAACACATAAACCTTATTATTACGTATATATATATATATAAGTATGACAAAAAAATAATTTTAATTAATATAATAGATTGTTTTATATGTGGGCGTGTGCGTGTAAGATATATATATATATATATATATATATATATATATATTTATGTATACAACAACTTATTAAATTCATTAAAATATATTTTGTTATGTATTATATTATAATACTTTTATTCGATATTTAAAGAAAAGGATAAATAATTAAATGAATGAGATGTGGCTAGCCACGTACGAAAGTAAAAAGACTCAAGTTGTAAATATTTACTTGCGCGTGAAAATATAATCAATGAAGGTAACGTATTTGAAAGAAAAGAAAAACCTTATTATATCTATCTAAAGCTCATATTTTTACAGCATACGGAACAAAAATCTAAAACTAGTTGCATTCAATATAAAATAGTTTTTCTAAATTGTTAAAACATTTGAAATTTTTTAAAATATTTCTTTTGTGACACATATCGCGAGTAAATTTTAGAAAAAAGAATTTTAGCCATAATGTAACTTTATAATATAATTATGAAATCAAGTATTAGACATACGTCACACATATCATTCGATTACTTATATTTAATAAATTCAGGAAATAAATGAAATATTTTCATCTATGAAATTTTATTATATTACATAATAATATATTTTATGATTGCATTGAAAACCGCTGTTTTACATTAATGTGAAGAGACTTGGTATGTCCCTACCGAGAAAACGTGATCATGTAACATTATCTTCTAGCCAAAAGCTTCATATTTAATTAAAAAGGCATATTTTGTTACGAACTGTCAAATAAAATACGAGTCGCGACAAGTTTTATATAGTTATCGATTACTTATATAGAATTCTGTGCCTTCTCGATCGCGTGTAGGTCGTCTCCACGATTCAAGTATGGCCTTTACGATCTCAATTAATAACATCAACAAAAAAGAAAAGAAGCATTAATTGCGTGATCAATGAAAATAATAGTCGCGATAGCTCGATAAAGACACTAATGCGAATTGGCGAGGCGTTACTATTTGATGACATTATAAGTTAGTACATAAAGAATATTCATGATTAAGTATAAGAATTTGATTTCTTTCATAAACCCGAAAGATAAAAAAAATTATTAGTTAATACTGGTCAATTGTCAGCATCGACGTAAAAATGAATAAACTTGTGATTATGAAATTCTAAGAAATAGTTACTGCCGAAAGTTGCTAAGAGCTCAAATGTTCGAAAAGGCGGAATAAAAAGTGTGAGACAGAAGTCGAAATTATAGAAAGTCTTCGAGACAAATTTCTATGTAATTATATTCGATAACATTATTCGGTCAACACTAGCTTGCATTAATGGCAAAAAATGTAATGGTGACACTGGAATGATAAATATTTATATATAAATATACCAGTTATAATTATCATTAATATTGATTGATTCGAAACGACATAAAACATATTTCCATAATAACGAGAGATTAAATTAAAGAAAAAACGTGTAAACGGTTGAGCATTGTTAATACACAGGACATTTCACATGGAATAGAAAAACAGCTGATTTCGATGTAATCGCTAAATACGTTGTATGAATGTTCATTATTTATTATTATTATTACTTTTTTTTTTTTTTTTTTTTTTTTTTTTTTTTTTTTTTTTTTTTTTTTTTTTTTTATATAAAATAAATTCGTAAATTCTTTATATGCGAATTAAAAAAAGAAACTCGATGTAATATTGTCTATGATCAGCATGTAGCATCAGTACTTTGTTTTTAATAAAAGTTATACACAATTGTAATGAATATTTTATCATCCATTCTATTATTATTATTACACACAATGTTAATGTAACAATAATGATAATTAAAAAAAAAAAAAGAACAAAAAACATATTATTAGATGTACTTTTTTTACAAAAAAAAATACTCGATAATGAAATGTGTTGATTCAATGATTATAATACTTTGTTGAAAATTTTTCAAAACAATCGTATTAAAAGTAAAAGTTATTATTAATTTAATTTAAAATCCTAAGGACAGTAGGCAAATCATAATTCCATTCTGCTTAATTAGTTCCATAAAAGCTACAAAATGAGTAAATAATTAAATGAACGAGGGCAGAAAGATTATTAAAATAGGAGGAATCTAATCAATTTATAAATGATTTTACTAATATGTCTCATTTTGTGCAATCGTTTGATATTTTATTCTTAAAAATTGCACCTAAAACATATTTAAATTTTATGTACTAATTACAAATACGAATGGAAGAATTGCATTTGAAATTGCAATTATAAAAAGTGTTGGGAATTATATGGTTATCGGCCTTACGACTAAGAAAACCGGTATATGACATTTTAGAAAGTTATGAAATAATATATAAAACGTAAATCAATATTTTTGCAAATAATTTGATTTTTTTGCAATTTATTTACACAGTTTTCTCCAACTCCAAGGGCGCTATATAATAATAATAATAATAATAATAATAATAATAATAATAATAATAATAATTGCGGATTGCAGCGAGATAATTTTCATTATTGAACGCATTTGGATCGCTGTCCCGAAATTTCTATTTATTTGCTATCGAGATATAAAATAACACGTGGCAGAAATGAGGACAGTTGACATTTTTCACCGTAAATTAAATTCACCGTTACTACGTAAACACCGCATTAGCTCCAACTAAACTTTATTTAAAATCTGCTCTCCATGTTAAGAATTACAATGTACGATTTTTCAGTCAACTCCCGTCTCATTCGACCTTATTTTCTCATTCTTTTTTAACATTTATTTATTTTTTATTTTTTAAACCAGTCTTATTTGTTTTTTTCTTTTTATCTTTCTTTCTTTCTTTCTTTTTTTTTTTCTTTTTTTTTTGTTCATCTAAATACGATTGTTTAACCAGGCCAATTCGTAGTCCTGATTTTACTTAGAAAAGAAAAAAAAATTAAAAAAAAAAAAAAAAAAAACACTAACCTTGAGCATAATTTTATAATTCAAGTATTACATAAGTTACACATTAATTTCTAAAATTATACTCAATTTAAGTATTTTTCTCGAATGAATTGATTAGACAACTACTATGAAGGTCTTCCTTCTTGCAACCTTTTGCATGAGAATTGCAAATTTTTCTCTTAATGAATCTTCGCTCATGTACGTATATACTTTCATATTAATATTAGTACATTTGTGGAACTATTAAATGTGCGTGCATGTATGAATTCTACATTTATACAAATTGATTTTCATACATTGTTGTTTTATTCTTTTAAAAATATATCTTTTGTCAGTACTGTAATATTATAGTAGTTACGGGAATTGTACAAATATATGTTAACTTTTGTTATGATGCCGAATTAATCTTATCGATAATCATTCAGATTTAAAGATCTGCTCGTTACGTGCTTTTGTATTTGCAGCTTCACGCGATTATACAGAGCTTGACAATGTGTGTACAAAAATGCGTTTTTTATTTACTAATGAGCAGATGGCAAAACGAAACAGTTATAGTTTTTTTTTTCTTTTTCTTTTTGTTTTGTTTTTTTTTATTTTTTACAGCTCTGACAGACGATAATTAAATTTAAAATTCGACGAAATTTTTACAAAATCACAGAGGTATTTTTATTGGCTACGTCGCTTGTCCTGAATATAGTTCACTTTATTCATGAACGAAATTTCATTCGAATTCATTTTTTACTTATAACGACAGCTCTTAGAAACTACATAAATTTTATAATGTTATGCACAGTACATCGTACCTTAGATATTTTATTTTTGTTTTTGTTTATGTTTTTTTTTTGTTTTGTTTTGTTTTGTTTTTATATTTCCTTCAAGACGTATTTTATGCAAAGCACAACTTCTAAAAGTTTACAAAAGTCTTAGTATCATAAAAAATAATTTGAAGACTTTCGTTTATTAAATTGATGTATTGTCGCTTTGCCTTGATCGATTATTCCACGCGAATAAAACAAACTGTAGCTTCATTATTAATTTGATTATATAAATCAATAATAGATCGATATGATTTTTAAATAAATCTATGATTGAAATTTTATTCAATTATCTATGCAGATTAAAATATTTTTAACGATTATCCATCGTTGTCTATATTATTATCCTTTAGTTAACGTCAAGACTATTAAAAAAATGATTTTACGTTCTATTAATCGACAATTTCAATTTCAATAGGAGCCACAACAGGTACTATTGAATTATGTTACTATTTACGTGTGAAAAATAATTTAATGCCTTTGCGTTATGTTGGAATTAAAATATATTCGTTAGCGAATACAATTAAAATCAAATCCAGGCAGGTAAAAGCAAAGCGATAAAATTGTACCAAAAGGCTGAAATTGACATGTATGTAACCTCTAATTTCATTATTAATCTTATTCTTATAATATAGAGAAAACTAATTTTTAAAATCTTTCAATTGATCAATTAAATTCCATTTGGAATAGCGTATTGCCTATGTAAATAATGGTAATTTTGTAGTTTTCGATAATATACATAAATCCACTCTTTGCCTGCATTATTCTATATAAACAAACAAAAAAAATAAAAAAATAAAAAAAAAAAATAAAAAATAAAAAAAAAAATAACAATACTCCAAGCGGTGTTCGTACACGTGAAAAAATTTACAATGAATGATGATTATTTCGTTTTTGTAACAATTCATTTTTCTTCGTTACCATTATTTTTCCATTTTTCGTTTTTTTTTTCTTCGTTTTTTGTTTTGTTTCCTTTCAATGTACACACTTAAAAGCTATTCCAGTTTCAACAAACACGCTCTTGTCAATAAATAACACTGATGAACGACTTTTAATCGCTTGGAGTTTATAAGAAGCAGCATTGATGGCAACGATGACGGCAACGATGACGACATCGATTAATCGATTGTCATCTCCGCTTGCTCTCAGAAATACGATTGATGGTTACAGTTGCTTGTGATAATTTGTTTCTCTCTCTCTCTCTCTCTCTCTCTCTCTCTCTCTTAACATCTACGATACAATAAACAAATTCTTTCAATTGCACTCTACCGAACGCATTTATACAATCACAGTTTACGCATCCCGTTAGTCTTGCCAAAAAATAATCGTATTCGATAATTTACTATTGGACTGAAAAATCCGAATTAATTTTGTCTCCTCCGTCAACACGGATGAATAATATATATTAAAATTTTTTCAATTTACATTGTGCATATCAATGAGAATTTGCTCATCTTAAATTTATGAATTATGATTTTAAAGTCCTTTAGTAGATTTGTTTGACCATGGATACACTAAAATTATACATTAACATTCATACGTTCTCTGAAATGAATTTGCTATATCGATTGACATATCATTTACATAGTAAAATGTAATATAATACACATATTATGCGGACAAAGAATACCTAGCATTCATTTAATTAATCATATTGGGTCTAGTGGTAATCCTATCTTTCGTATCAATTAAAAGAATGATAATTGAAAGTTTGAAAATTTCGTCCGGTCAATCCCAATTTTTGCAAGCAAACAGATTTGTTCGAAGACTTTCTCATAGATTTAGTATATCGCTGAAATTCTTTGGAAAATGATTTTAAAATAACGCTAAATAATAAAGGTATTTAGTGGTAATGTTCGATTAGTAAGTTGATAAGAATTAACTCGATGGGATTGAAAAAAGAACGAAGTCTTGACCACAAAATCCATTATATATCAATATTTCAAGGCCTTGGTAGCACAATAACCGTTGCAAAACGTATTACAAAAAGTTATTATTAACTACACCAATCTACCACATATATTTCCATTTTCAAATAAGCTTGCCTCAATCTCGTGTACTTCAATCGTTCGAAAATAATTCGATTATATAAAGCAAATTTATGGCAAGTTAATAAACTAAAACATCTAAATTCACCTACAGTTTTTTAGTACGTTGCGTATAGTTTTATCAAACCGAACGTTTTACAAAATTAATCTATTATATATATATATATATATATATATATATATATATACGGTGATAAGGGGAGAGAGTAGTTATCAACATTAATTATTTATATTATCGTACAATTGCCGCCCACAAGTTCCTAAATTTTTCTATTATCCTCCGCTAGTCTTTCAAGTCTTGTGCATACCGAATATGCTGGCTTCTTAAGCACATGTCACAAAATGTGATGATTAAGATCGATAAAATTACAACTATACGTATTAATGAACGTGTATATTCATTGCCATAATCCTGCATAATTCCCATAGAGATTAGTTGGAAGTGGACCACCAGCACAAAACAGACGAGTTCCTGATGCATCATAGCAATGCGTATAAATGGCCGGAGTGTATTTAACGTTTTGAAATCCATCGATGTAATCTTCATCGGGGAACTGCGCGAGAAGATAAAAATTATATTTCGTCTGTCAATAGGCTATCGATGCATGCTTAAGAGAACTGTACATTGAAGATGTAATAACGAAGAAGATAGAAGAATAAAATTATTATTTACCACATAACCCTTGGAAGCTTTCAACATGACAGTTCGATTAGAATTAATCGATGATTCCAAATATTTTTGGGCTCTAATATCGTAAAACATGAGCATTCCGAGCCCTGTTCCAATTGTTAATACCGAGCCTTGAAAACTGGCTGATCTAATGCCACATCCGCTGTATCTGTTAACCGAGAGGGGGGGGGGGAGGAAGCAACAAAACAAAACTTGTCAATGCCAGTTAAACATTAAATCATTTCTAGAATAATGCAAAATCGTTACCTCGATGGTACTTTCTTAATTGGCTGTAGAGTTCTAGCATCTAAAAGTAATGTGTACGATCGACATCCAACTGCGTACAATCCATCATCGTGTACAGCTAAACAAACATTATCTTGACAAGCGGGTAACTTACGAGATATTTTTTGCTTAAATGTTTCTGCGGACCAAATGTGTATAAAACTGTTCATCGACAATACAGCGATTTCTTTGTATGCTTTGTTGAAGAGCAACGAGCGCACCTTCTGAGCAGATCTACATTCTTTGACACACACTGGCTGAATTAGTCTATATTAAAAGAATCACAACATTAATGGTCGAATATAATAATTGCACTTTGGCGCTTAGCTAATAGCCAATTGAGTTTAATTAGTTGATAATTATTAACCTGTGCGATGGTATGTCGGCTTTGTCCGGAGCTTCGGATAAATCGCTGTCAATTTGCCACAAAGCCATTTTAGTATCCTTAGATCCTGAAACTAAGAATTCATCGTCTAGCCAACACATATCGTATACCCAGTCCCTGTGTCCTGATTCACCAACGCATACAGGATCTAAAGTTGGTAATCTATAAATTGCTATCTCAGTACTATTTCTACCTCCTGTAGCCAAAAGAGTCCTGCAAATATAATAATTGCATATATTCTTTTTTCTTCTAAACAGACTTGCAATTTTTGAAATACAAATTTAATGCCAATAATTAAGAAATTATGGCGAAACACATACGTATTTTCGCACGTAAAATAAATTCGTCCATTAACGACGTTTTATTATTAATGAGCATTAAAAGTACTGGAAAAGGCTTTGATTGTTTATCGTGGAATTATAAAGCTTTGAACAAAAGTTGGTTGAACGTTAGCGGTAAATGTATTTACACATGGCTGAGTAAGCGATGTGTATCGTCTATTTAAAGATTTTCCAAGTAAGAGTCGCATTTTCACACCACTATCAATGCATAATTACCTCGATGGATTTATTTGAACGGAATGTATGCCACATTGCTGTTCGGCAACACCGCCTAATCCGCCAGAGGAATTTTGTCTCCCGTGCAAAGATGGAATCTGATCTAATTTTTGCGTAGCAACATCATAAACCATTAATTTATTGCATTTGGTTCCAAACACAACTTGTCGATCGCTGAGCCATTGAGAACAGAATACTTTATTCATATTATTTAAACTAACCGAATATTCTTTAAAAAGATCATGACTTAGTATATGCCTCGAGCCAAATTCTTGATTAATTTTGCGAATTTCTCTTGTATTGGTTTCTCGAGAGCGAACGTAATCGATAAAGTTGAACGATGTCCTTAAAAACTGTTTACCATCCATGACAGTTTCCTCTTCGTCGTCGCTTGATTCGTAGCACACGAAATCATCTGGTTTGTCCGATTTTCTGTTTCGTTCCAATATCATGGCCAGCCTGCAAAGGGAACGATTGAAAAATAACTTTGAGTTCAAAAATAAAGCGAGTTTATAGGGAGGGGGAGGGGGGAGGAGGAGGAGATATCAAAGGATCATTTTACCTTCTAGATCTTCTTTCTTCGAGGCGAGAATTATTTGCACACGATGGATATCTTCCATACGTGGTCATTCGCTGTGTTTCTGCCATTGTGTAAATACAATTCAGGGTGCGAAGGTACACTCGCTAAAGATTTTCCTTTACGACAATCGATCGTTGAAAGATACGGATGCTCGATAGCTGTGAAATAGCTCGCTGTATAAACTATATCAGGATCTTAATAGCCGCCTCCGCATACTTGGAAAATTTTTACATGCGTCACGCAAGCTCTTTAATTGCAAATGCATTTAATATTAGCATATTCGATGGATCCAAATTGTGAGCGATATACATGAAGCGAGGAAATTATCTCCAAGCCAAAAGAACGTATGTCCACATAAATACTTATATTTAATCCGGCTTCAGACTATTCTAATCGATACTGTCCTGCAACATAATTGTTTACGAGGTTAAGATTTTGTAGTTACACAAGATTTTGTAGATTCAATTGTTTTGAAGAAATATTTTGAAGAATCAATTCGGCGATTCTCACGCTTATTCACCAATAATTCATTCTGTCAAACATACTTATCGATACTTGTTATAAATTTATCGACAAATAAGCACAACAGCAGCAGAAGCAGCAACAACAATAACAACAACAACAGCAGCGACGACGACGACAAACGTAAAATGTACATTAAAACAAATTTACAAATGCAACGTAATGTAATTATGCAGTTAAATCTATTTATTAAAATTCAGCGATAAAATAGGTGTATAAATGAAGCTTGGCTCGGGCCAAATTTATTATCTTTTTTTTTTCTTTTTTTTGTTCTCAAAAGCGCTGTAGCTCATAACTAAAGTCGTTAATTTGGCAGTTAAAAATTTTACAAAACAAACTTAAAGTTCTCATTAAGCGTGACATTTACTCTCAGTTTGTTGAGTTTTTGCAAATTCTTACTATTTCGGTAATGGGTAGCAGAGGCATAAAATATACAAGCGATAACAATGTCAAACAAAGCCTCGGACATTCGTAAATTGCTAGTTAATCGTACATTTTTTCCACAAACGCTCTCTCTCTCTCTCTCTCTCTCTCTCTCTCTCTCTCTCCACGATTAAAAACCCACCGAGTATTTCGAAAAATAATCTAGGCCAATTGAATTGTCGAGGAAAGTTGCGCTATCCCGATGCCAATAATCGGACGCATCGCGATCTCAACATTTAACACGCCTCCGCCAACGAAATTGTCAATCCCAAGCGTTTATCACAGACAAAACTAGCAGACACCATAAAGAAAACGACGACCCCGATGATAAGCCGAGTGGCTAAGTGGCTTATCAAGGACAGACAACCATTACGGCTTCAGTCGAAGAGCCGCCGAGCATTATACATAAGCACTTGTTAATCCAAATCGCGACGTCAACGGTGCGTGCAGCCGTCCGTGGCCGACGTCTTGCGCCCCCTCAACTACGACAATATTAATCGGGACGACGATTAATCCGTGACTTGATTGTCAGACCAAAGACGAAGACCAAAAGGTCGAGGGAAGTGTAACCCGATGCGCATCCCCCGATCCCGTCTAAACATCCGCGAGAGCACCGTCGCCCCAACGGAATAAGCAAGCTGCTGTCGGGCGGCCCCAGCGAATAATAATAATCGTCTATAAGCGCCCGCAATGGCACACGACGACTCGACACAGATAAGCTGCTCCTCTTTTTCCTCCACGCACCCAGAGAGCTAGGGGGATCCTCTTCTCCTCTCGTCCTTCACCTCTCGTCTATCGGTCGGCCGAAGCGAAGCGAAGCCCGTCCCAGGCCCCGAGGGCCCCACGACTCTTCACCCAGGAAGCCCGCCTCGTCGTCTCCTCGTCTCGTCCACTTCGCCTCGTGGATGGCCAGCGGCGGAGCCCAGCACCGCGGGAGGCAACGCGCGTATGCAGCAACGTCGCGATGGAACGAACGGGAGAGGCGAGAAAAAATGGATCGACCGGGAAGAGAGAGAGAAAAGGAATGCGTGGTGGCCCTCTTGTTTCAGGGTGCTGGCTCGCACCCAGGCACGGAGAAGAGCTCGTAGACGCGGCTTGCCAAGGCGACGAGCGAACGGCTGTAGAGGCACGGCAAGTTCGTCAGATGCATTATAACAACGGGCGCGCGATAACTCCCAAGACTCACTGCTCAACCACGAAAGCCACTTTGGCCGCCATCTTGCAACTACATGTGTATATATTGTATATACTCTCGAGGGGCTGGGGCAGGGGAGTCCGAGCGAGACCGGGCCGACGGCTCTCTCGAATGCTGCTCTCGCGATTATCGACGGGTCTCCCCGGGCTCAATGTTCAGCTCGCGCGACCGAGAAGAGTACGGAGACGACGGGACATTGGAAGCGAACCGGGCGCGTAGCGCGTACCCGAGTCGGAGCCCACTGCATGGGGCCAAGTCGGGGGGGTTCTCGGCTGTGGGAATATCAGGCGGACTCGACGTTCGAGACGGGAATGCGGCCTCGGGACCAACAGATGTCGGCTAGTCGTTGGAAATTGTCACTACTCCGAGTCTCTTCTAGTCTCGCTATTGCCCGCCCGTCTCGGCGAAGCTCTCTCAGCGGCTCTCTAGGCTTTGTAACTAGGGACACTAGTGATACTAGAGAGGGGCTTGTCGAAGTGGAGCCAAGTCGCGGAGGATGTCGAGGAAATATGGTGGTCTATCTTGTCGTCCCGGTCACACGGCTATCTCGCTATCTCCCTATCTCCCTATCTCGCTCATCAGGACATTACCAATGCGTTGAGGACCATTCGTGCCCATTATCAGTACGATGTGGGAAAACGAGGCAACTTTTTCTTATTACGATATATTATAATGGCCATCGGGTCCTCGAATCGAATTTACAGTTATCGCTCATTTTATTTTTCAATGTCATCGCTCTCCTCTGCCAGAGCAATGGTTAAACATTATTTTGTTCGCTGGCTGTTGAGCGACTCACGTCAGGCTCAGGCTGGATCATCTCAACATTGTACCGCTTATTTTCCAATAAGGTCCATTCATTTATTTATTTACTTTATTTACTTTATTTTATTTTCTTAATTGTTATTATCATTATTATCATTTTATCTTTGTTTTGTTTTGTTTTGTTTGTTTTTTTTTTTTTTTAACATTTTTTATAAGCATGAGCTTGAAGATTGCTATTGTATGTATATTATTTTTTTAACGTTTTATTAGGTAAAATTAAGAGTGTCGATGAGAGATGATATTCGTGAAATAGTGAGTTTGATCTTGATTATACTCTTCGATCACTTGTGACCAGTGCTATTTTCATTACCGAACGATACCTAGTCCCTACATTCATATTAATGCCACTTTAATCTAATTTACTCACGAATGTCAAGACTTTTAGCGATATTTATATAATGTAGCCATTTATTCCTAGATTGTCAATTTGTCAAGAAAACCTTAAATGCTTATAATGAAATCTTGACAACATGACGCTATTTTTTTTATTTAACTATACATATAAACAATGGTAAGTTTCTAAATGTTCTTAAATAAACGAATAAAATGCTTGGTAAATAATAATTGTATGCTTATTTTCAGACAGATTTAGAACAATACCAGTTTACTAATAATTATATTGTAGATAAAAAACCTTCTTTATTGTTACATCAATTCAGAATAGATGCGAATAATAGAATAAAATATAACTTTGATTGATTTAAGTAATCTGTAATTGTACCGTTCCATGTTATATAGAAATTTTAAACTGTTATTCATTCAAACATTTCCATATCTTGTTAAGAATAATTTGAACAAAAATATCCGTCGGTATTTATTAATATTTATCAACTGTTTCGCTAAGCTATAATTCTCTTTAGAAATATTGATCAAATAAATTTTATAAATATTTTTTTCTTTCATTTTAAGACTTATACTATTTTGTTAAAATATATGTATATAAAACTTAAGGAAAAGAGAAATAAATAATTTAAAATAAGTATTAAATTTGTTTTAATCACTCATTTTTTAGTTAATAAGTAATATTGTTCAGCTATCTATTTTAAATAAATAAATACAGATATTCACACATATATGTATATATGCATATTTGCATGCAATGTAGAAACTAAATTAGAAACTAATTAGCTCCATCGCTATTTCTACCTTTTTTTTTATGCGTATTAATGTGTACATTTTTTACTGATAAAATAAAAGATTAATTTTAAAGGTAGAAGAATTTATTAAATTTAATGCTATGTTTATCATATAAAAATTACAAATTCACATAAACAGTATATACAAATGTTCAAATGTATATATATACATATATATTATATATATATATATATATATATATATATATATATATATATGCGTTTGTGTGCATATATTATTATATATAGGCAGAGAGAGAGAGAGAGAGAGAGAGAGAGAGAAAGCTTATATGCACGTGCATAATTCATTCCTTACATTCGCTACCGGATAAAAACAAAAATTTAGAGGTTATGTTGTATACATTGCTATTTGCTTATCTTAAATGATGGGTTCGACTAATTGAGCTGAAATACACAAAATATAACTAAACATTTAAATATGCGTTTGTTGAAATTAAAAAATGTCTAAAATTTTATACAATATATTTACATTTATTGTAGATTAAAATAAAAAATTAAATATAAGAATTATTTTTTGATAGTTCAAGAATTAAAACAATCAAGGTTAACGTCTTGTAATAAATAAAAATGACTAGCCCTAAGAAAAAATCTAAAAATTTAACTGATATGAGAGCTGTGAAATGTAATTTAAACGAAAGTCAAATTATAAATAAAGAAAACAGAAGCGATGATGAAATTGTAGCAAATTCCCAAGGTAGTAGTGAATCTAAATTGAAAAAAAAAATTATGGAAAATGCATTAAGAAAATCTGGAACATTGTCATTATCGCAGAGAGATGTGTTTAATAATTCATCTAAAAATACATTTGTTAAAGAGCGCAGTATTAAAGCAAATGATCTTATTAATGAGAGTACAAGGATGACTCGTGATTGGAGTGGAGTAAGAATGAATACAGCCCTATTGTCAAATATTTCAAAATATTCACCGTCAGTCAGCAATAATATTATAAATTCAAAAGTAATTGAGAAATCGGAGGAGAAGCAAATAAAAGATCCTTTGTATTTTACTAAAAAAGATGATGAATCTGATCAAATAATGAAGAAAGACAAAGAAAAAATTACCGTTACAAACAAATTAAATTTGAAAAACTTTCTTTCTGTAGATAATAGTTTTGATAATAAACAAAATGTAGAACCTAAATCAGTATCGAGCCCATTATCAGAAGCATGTATAAAGGTCAGTCATTATTTCTTTCGTGAACAGACAATAATACGATTATTAAAAATTAAATTACATTCAAGGATTATAAAAGTCTTATATTTTAGTTAAAAACAAATAATAATAAAAATGTATTGTACCTAGGCGCCGATGTTATATGCATTGTAAATCTATATCGCATACTTTTGCAAATATAATATTTAATATTCAATTTTATTGTAAGTCATGAGTTTTGTAATTTTCTCTATTATGTTTTAGAAATTACAGTCATTGGAAATTAAATTACAACACAAAGTACCGCTTCAACATAAAATTGAAAGGCATGCAGGATCGAGAGCTTTAAGCAAACAAGAGTTGCAAGCATTTGAAAAGTTTGCAGTTTTAAAAAAAGGGGTATTTGATAAAGAAGAAAATAGTATTATTAAGAAAAATTGGAAAAGCTTTTGTGAGGTATGCGTCGTTAATAGAACATAAATTTTTATCGAAAGTAATTATAATAAATCGTTGTAGATTCACAACTGGAAGAAAAATAATGTTAAACCGTTTTTGTACTTTAGCCATAATGGAAAGTGTTATCTTAATTTTGAACAAAGAAAAAATTTTGTAAGATTTCTAGCTAACGGATTACCTTCTAGAACCTTAAATAGTGTTTATTTTCGATTTCGCAGCTCGTTCGATGCCAATGTTAACACTGGGTAAATTAAATAAAAATTAAAACAATTAATTTTCTTTTATATATTTATATTTTCTTCAATATATCATTGAATTGTACTTTATTACAGAAAGTTTACTCATAAAGAAGATAGTATCATAGTGAGACATTTGTCCAATACATCAAGCACTAAATTAATTAATTCATCTGCTCATGTAGCAAAGATTTTAAATAGAAAACGACATAGTATTCGACGTCGTTTTAGAATATTAATTAAAAAATATAATTTAAAAAACAATGTATATAATGCACGTGAAAGTAGTAGCGATGATTACAAAAATTCGAACAATAAAAATAAAGATAAAAATGTAAAACGTACTAAAAATACTTTAAAAAATTCGATTTGTGAAAATGGTTTAAATATCATCGTATTGTTCGAGATTTCTTTACTTTTCAATCAAATCGACATTCTATTTTAATCAAGATTTCTTTACAGTGGACATCAATATTTCATGGACTTACGCAATGGTGCGAGAATTCATTAACACATTAACAGAAACTTCAACCTGTAAATTAGAAGAATTAAAGAATATAGTTATTGATCAAACTATATGGGATGAAATGGGAAAAAAATTGAATATTGATCAGAAAATTTTACAAAATTTTTGGTATTACCAATTGCACATGCAAATCTTTTGCCCTGAACCGATTTATTTGAACGAGCTGAAAATTAATTTAATTGAATAGTAAGTATTGAAATATTCAATAAACTTCTCTAGAGAAAATGACATCCATAGAAAAATGAATGACTGTTTATCGAATGCATTACATTTTTCAGCGTACATAGGCAAGATGATAAAATATTAGAAAATTTAGCGTGGGATAATGTTTGTTTAAAATTTGATGGCGTACCCTCATTGTTTCTGTCAAAATTATTTAAACACCTTATAGAATATGCAAAAACGAAAATCAACTCTTCAACATTAAAAGGTAATATAAAGTTTTGTATATATTATAAAAACAATAAATAGGCGATACTAAGGCTTGCAATTAAAGCATTTTATATTATTTCAGATATTATACAATATTTGTACAATGAACATATTCCTATAATGAAAGGAAAATCATTCGACACTTTTTTGCCTAAATTACATTTTAAAAATAACAAATTAATGTATGTGGATAAAGGCAAAGAAAACTTATTTGTAAATAAAACTAAAGCAAATGTGTTCGGCGATGAACATACATAAAAAGTAAAAACTATGCTTTCGATACAGTTATTGTAATTTAAGAATATCATTATCTTTATTATTTTATAAATAAGTTATGTAGATAGAACTTAAAATATATGTATATATGGATGTATTTTTTAATCTATTGTAAAATTAGATGATCTAAATTTTTAAAACTTTTTAATTTTCAAAAAATAATTGACTCGCATAATATGACATTATGCATAATATACATATTAAGACATCAAATTTATTATTAATAGTTGCACAAAGTGTTTAATATAGGATTAAAGGAAAGGATAAATTATATTGTGCAAAAAGTGAGAATCTCCCTTTATCGAAACATGCAATTTTCGATAGACAATCGAATTTATCGTGGCATAATTAATAAATTAAAATTGATAAGTAAGTGATTGTTGACGTTTAACATTCAAACTTAAATTCCTTCCAACCACATTGATTTCCTAAGAAACAGGCTCTATTTTAAATGAGTGCTTATTAAAAAACTATTATGAATAATAAAATGTAATTTTTTACGAACAATCCAAATCATGTCAAAGAAATAGACGAGTTCAAAATCAACGTTGCTAAAAGAATTTTTGGTGACTTGCACGGATATCTTCATAAATTTGGATGATGAGTAATTTGTAATTTCAACGAACCATCATTCGTACGAAAAGAAGGGCATTTAATTGTAAAATAAAAATTATACACGGAATTTGCTATTGGAAATGTAAGGTAATACCGAACCGTCACTAGATAATTTAAAATCAATTTTCCATTCGTCAAAATTGCACTCAACCAGCTTTAATGATATTAGACACAACTCGAGCAAGTTCGTTCCACGAGTGTGCAAACTCCAAGGCAAAAAAGCTGTCGCAAAGGATAAATAAGAGATTAGTTTTTCTCCTCGACATCGATTATTCTAGACTCACCGGCCACTAATATCTCATTCTGAATCCTGTAAACTATTTATTTTACCACCATTACGATGGGATTACAATTCATTGAGACGACTAGATTGGGATGACAATGTGACTCGTCGGGTGGTGTTGATGTAAAATTTAACGCGTCCAATCTATAGAAAATCATCTATTGTCAGATGAGTCTAATTATAATACAATTATTTATACTTTATGCGTAACGCGCCATAATGCTTTTAAATTAGAATTAGTGATATTTCATTGGGAATTGTTCATGCGATAGGGATAATATAATAATAACAATGTTCGAAGCGGTAAGTCGAGAAGAATTAAGCTCTAAAATTTACATCAAATCTACAATTTTACCTACAGTTTTAAGGTTCTATGCCTTAAGGAGAATTATTTCTACTAATTTATTTTGCTGATTGGCATTTAATTTATATTCGATGCTGGCCTGCTTGATAAATTTGTTTAATCATTAGATTTCGAAAAGCCTTGAATTTCGACAAAAATTCAATTATTAGACTTTCGTTTATAAACTTATTATTTTATAAATTATCAAATAGGTAATAAAATTTTTTCTTTTTTCTAATAAAAGTTTGGATATTATATTTCAAATTTAAATGTTTGATCGTACACCAGTGATCTGGACGAAATTAAAAATGAGAAAACAGAAACAAAAACAGAAAGAACTAAATAAGTTGCCCTATACTAGTATGTATTAATGTGATAAATAATAGAATATTCTTAATAATTTTAATACAAAGTATTAAATAATAGTATGATGTATTACGCGATAGTTTATAACGAACCAAATTATTTCAAGAAGATTTTCTGCATGCAAACGAAGCTCGAAAGTAACCGGCCTTCAAATTTTATCATCATTATCATTTTATATATGTAGTATTTATAAATTCCTAAAAAGTAAATAAATTCATGTTAATATAAATTAGTTTTATTGTAAGTATTATAAAATTTCTATTGTATTGATCAATGTATTTACAAAATTTTACTTTTACACGAGCACGATACATAACATCTTATGTATAAACGAATTTAATCAAATCTAGGATAATATAAAATAATAAATAATTAATATTTTATAATCTTCTCATTGATTAATAATATACCGTTATTATTAAATGATATACACGCTCTTTGAAAATATCCAAATACTTATCCTGTTATTATGATAGAATAGGGAATATGAAGCTAAGGATAAAGAAAAACATTATATATATATATATATATATATATATTTTGCGTAGATGGATAAGGTATAATTTTATTTTAAATTTTTTATAAATGTCCAGTCTATATTAATAACCCTTTCAAATCTAAATTGCAATCTAAATGATAATATTGATAAAGTAATTTTAATATAAATTTTTGCTGCAAAAAACTATAAAAATAATAATTGATTATGAAAAGTTTAACTTCTACCTCTGTTACTCATAATATAATCATCAATTTTTCATATTATAATTTGAAATAAAGTCTATAAAAATTTATCCAAATTAAATAACTCTGATACTTTTAATTACTTCTAGATTTAGGTAGATACAATTTAACCAAATTCATAAGTTCCGTGCATGTGTACCAAATCCTATAAATGATACTAAACAGGATCACGTAGAGTGTTTTTAAAAATTTAACCTAAAAATGGATCTCTAACATAAGATAAGATTTATGAATATAAGTTGGAAACTAAAGATTATAATAGAATTTGATTGTATAGTGTTGAAATAAATGGCTTATTATAAGAGTACGAAAAATTTTCATTTACGAAGTAAGATTTTTTGTCGATTTTAACATTCACAAACACGGTCAATTTTAACCAATAACAAAAGCAAAATACGATAATAAAATTATTTGCTATTATGTTTATTTTGTAATAATACAAAAGTAAAATCTCACGTTTATAGTTAGCACTGATTGGACATTATTAACGATAAAAAACTTCATCGATGTATTAATGGAAATAACATTATGCAAGACTATAAAAGAATTAAAAGGCCACAAACTTCCTGATTTTATATGGCTAACAATGGAATCGAAACTGAACATAAATTATAAAAAATTAAAACAACTTTGGCACCAACGATTGCACATGCAACTATTTTGCGTTGAACCAATTTATCTGAATCACATTAAAATAAAATTAATCAAATAGTAAGTATGTGATTGCGAAAGCAAATATTTTTTAAAATCTAATTTAAATTATATATTTTTCATCCAGTTTACATAAAAATGAAATAACCGATTTGAAAGAAATAAATTGGCACAAGGTTATTTTGTTGTTTGATGGCGTTACAAGAGAATATATATATAGAATTTTTACCAATTTAATTAAACTTGGGAGGATGAAAGTTCATTCTACAAAATTTTCAGGTAGTAAAGCTATCATTGAATATAATTGTTAATAATAAATTTCTTCCGATTTCATTTCTATAACAAGAAGTATATAATCTTGTAATAATTTCAAAAATTTCATAACATAAGCAATTAAATTTTACTTAATAATAATAAATTTCTTCCGATTTCATTTCTATAACAAGAAGTATATAATCTTGTAATAATTTCAAAAATTTCATAACATAAGCAATTAAATTTTACATTAATAGCAGTGTTTAAAACATCATATTTCAGAAACAAATAATTTAATATACATTCATCTATGGTTAAGCTAGATTAATTTTATATAAATTTGCAAATTAATAAACATAATCAGTTTGCATATCCGATAAAAAGGAAACAATATTTTAGTTAAATTATTTTTAGCAATATATTTTTATTATCATTTTATTGGAAAATATGTATATTAACATTTGACATACATGATTTTATCTCGATTAAGAAGTTATTGCGAGTTAAATTTACTTTAAATATATTGTAAAGTTTTGGACAATTATATTATCAAAGAATCTTTAATACATTTACATCTACTGTCATTATAAGTTAGCATCGATTTATACAGTTTTCTTTTTCCGAGCAATACGTATATATTTATATTCTATAACAAATATTATATACAAATAAAAACTTGTCGACTATTTTACAAAATCATATTTAAATTATTTTTCGCAGAAATTTTGTTATCCGCTAGAAATGAAGTATTTTTCTTTTACAGATCAATTACATTTCTTATATAATAAATATATTCCATACTTAGCGAACAACTTTGAAGATAAAATGTTACCTAGGCTATTATATAATAATGGTAATATTGTATATAATGACACAGATTTATCAAAAATAATTAACTAAGACATTAGCCATTATAATAGTAAATAAGCATTTTAATAAATGTACATACAATAAAGCATAAATTAAAGTGCAGCCAAAAGTAAATTATACTTGTAATAATTATATTAAAAAAATTTTATTAATGATTTTAATTACATAATTTATATTTTTAATTTAATAAATTTACAAATTTCATGTCTTATTTTTCTTTGCCTCCTTTTCAATAGCTCTTTCTTTTGCTTTTTGATATAAGGAGACAAGTTTACCTTCTTTTGCCAAAATTTTCAGTAATTCCATTATCAGTGGCAGATAATTATGTTTTCTTCTTATATTTTCTATTTTATATTTTTTGGATTTCCAAATCTCTTCATCGATCAGCGCTTGTAATCTAGTAATTTCATTTGCATCACTCGTTAAATTTTTTTGCCTCTCATAAAGCATTTTTCTATCGCTCACTAATGCCATTAAATTGAAATGTATTTCTCCCTCATTGTATCTAAAACATTTGTAATTAATAGTGCAAAAGCAAATTAAGATAGTTAACTAGAAAACAATTTAATTTATAAGTACCTTTTTTCAATTTTAATTACCAAGTGAGTTGAAATTTGAATTGTTTTTGTATATTCGGTAATATTCATAAAATGCAACAATCGCCATATGTTTTTTATAATTGAATTTGATACAAATTATTTACAGTATAACGATAGACATTAAAATATATTTCAAATTTTATTATATTAAAGAAATTTAACACAATTAAATTATATTTCGCTCGTTAGTGTTGACTTTAATTTTCACTTAAATTGCATTTACAGTGTAAATAAACCTGATTATTCATAAACCCTAAATAAAAGTAATATTACATGTCAACCGATCGACTTACTTTTTTATTCTTTTTTCAATTGTGGGTTTGGCTGCTTGTACCCATTGATCACCGGGTAAACAGGGTCCCAAATCAATCGGCCCATCTTTTAATCCATCCAGTTCGTATAATCTTCCATCGATTGGTACATAACTTACAAAATGAAATACATCTTCGTCCTTAAGTAATTGTTTACAATCGTATTCGAATAACGTCTGCCTGTAAATAAATTGCATAGGTATGATTGAAAATTAAATTAAAAATTATTAATGTATTATTACACGAATGAACGTTACCTAGCGAAAGAATTGTGAACTTCTCTGATTACATCTGAATTACTTAGAACAAGACCTCTCATATTGGCATCAAAACTTTGACAAAACGTCTTCACTTGTTCTAAATTTGGTCCCAAAGATATGTCCGTATGTTTACAATTCAGTAAAACACTTAAGATAGCTTGCGTCGCACATGCATTGTTAATGACCTAAAATGATAAAAATTAGTGTATTTATTGCACAAACCTGTTGGGAAATTAAATGAAATTTATTATTTACGCTTTTATAAACATTAATTTACAAGTGCATTATATGTGCCATGTATTGGTTGTATATTAGTATATACACTTATTAACATTTATCGAGGAAAATTTGTTTTAAATAAAAATATATTAAAATATTCTTTAAACCTGTTTGGCGAAAAATATTTTATCCAATCTGCTATCTTGTACAATACTTCCCGATGGTTCATCATCTTGTACCCATTTGAATAGAAAAATCAAACCGTGAATTGGTCTATTAAAATAAATTAGAAATTTTATTAAAGAATATTTGAAAAACTATATATACATACATATATATATATATATATATATATATATATATATACTTACTTTACATTTTCAAATTGTTCATCGTCAAGACTATATATCTCTTCAACTTGAGCTCCCTTTACACCTTTAAATTAAAATACACAAACATAACAAGAGAAGAAACATTTTGACATGTCATTATGCATATAAATTGAAATGAAGTTTATTTGACTAAAATCTTTAGATCATATGTGTGTGCATATGCAAGCGTATAAATATATAAAGTGCATAAATGCACGTTTGCACACACATATCAAGTTCTATGCACCATCAATCCAAATCTATGTATATATGCATATATAGAAGTATAGAAGTATGCATGCGCATGCATATATATGCATATGTATATTTATATATATATGCATAAAAAATAGATATAATATGCCTATATATGTATTTGCATGCATGCGTATATAAATTTATATACATTATTAAGGTATGGATTTAAAAATATCTACCAAATTCTTTAATTAATTCTGTAAAAACACCAGGATCGCTCTCAATGAGACACCAGTTTCCTGCCATATCCGCCATCTTTTTGAATATATATATATATATATACATATGCATATATTAAAATGTATATATATATATATATATATGTATTTTTGTTTGTATAATAATTAAATTAAGAACTGTTTGAATGAAACGATAAAATACTTGTAATTTAACCTTCAGTTGAAATTTTCATGTTTGTTGCGAGATTAGCCTTTACATCAGCTGTTGAAAGATAAGAAAATCTTTAATGGGATGGAATAAAGTTTCTCCTCGTTATAGTCCAGAAAGGATAACACCGGTTGCCATTAACACGTTATAGTTTATTTATGATATTAATTGTAATATTGAATAGAAAAGAAAGATATTAATGATGCCGCAGGGTAGAAAAAAGATTGCGTTTAGTGGGAAAGCCAAGAAACAACAAATGCAAAATAAAAATCAACGAAAAACCAATATTTTTTTAAGTAAGCTTATTTTTAAATTATTTAGAGTAGGGTTTAAATATATAATTGGTACACTTTTTTTGTAAATAATGTGGTAAATTCGTATAATATTCTAATTCGTTCGAAATAATTCTATTAATTCATGCACTTTATATTTCATGTTAATAGCTGGTAAAAATCAAGAGTTTAATGAGCTTGAGCGCGATATTAAAAAAATCAATAAACAACCGAAAGACAATGCTGGAAAAAATAAGTATGCGTTACAATTTTTTGAAGAAACTAAAGAAGAATTACAAAAAAGAAGGGAAGAGGCAAGAAATGTGATTGAAGCGTGCGATATTGAGGATCAGGAAGTCTCGGATGATTATTTTCCAGATTATATAGATATGCCAAAAAGGCCAACGTGGGATTTCGCTATGAATAAAGAAGAGCTGGATATGCGAGAACACAAATATTTTTTGGTTGAGTTTTTAAAATTTTCTTTTACTTTGAGAAGCTTAATTGATACTTGTTAAATTGTAATCCTATTGATTAAATTTCAACTTTATAGGAATATTTAAAGAAACTTGAAACTATTCGTAAAATCAGCTATTTCGAGCTTAATCTTGAAACTTGGAGACAATTATGGAGAGTAATTGAAATGTCAGATATATTATTAATCATTGCTGATATAAGATATCCAGTTATGATGTTTCCACCGTATTTATATAATTATGTGACCAATGATTTGGGCAAGGATATGATACTAATTTTGAATAAAGTGGATCTGGCCCCGTCTGCATTGATTGTCGCATGGCAAGAATATTTTAAAAATAAATATCCAAAACTTCATATTTTAGTATTTACATCTTTTCCGACCTATAATTTAAAGGAAAATATTAATCAAGAAGCAAATGTGAAAATAAGAAGAAAAGGTAAATTAAAAATGGCTGCAGAAGGAGCCCAAAAAATTATGGAAACATGCAAAAACATTGTAGGAGATCAAGTTGATTTAAGTAGGTGGGCTAAGAAAATTCAGGAAGAAATGCAGTCAGAGTGCGATATGAATGATTTGGAAAGGAACGATAATGTTGTAATAGAGAAGAAAGATACCGGATACTTTGAACACGAAAAGTACAAAAATGGAGTATTGACGATTGGGTGCGTTGGTACTCCAAATGTTGGAAAATCTTCATTGATTAATGCATTAATGGGTAATAAAAAGAACTTAAAATTTTGTGGATTTTTATAATTATATTTTTTGCATTTTTCATAATCACCAGGTAAAAAGGTTGTAAGTGTCTCACGTACTCCAGGCCATACAAAGCATTTTCAAACAATATTTCTCACCAAGAACGTCTGCTTATGCGACTGTCCTGGTTTAGTTTTTCCGTCAACTGTACCTAAAGAGTTTCAGATATTAATGGGATCGTTTCCCATTGCGCAAGTTCGAGATCCGTACACAACTATTAAATTTTTAGCAGAAAGAATAGATTTTCCTAAACTGTTGAAGCTTCAACATCCAGACAACGATGACAGTTGGTCAGCATTGGATATTTGTGACGGTTGGGCTGCTAAAAGAGGTTATCGCACTGCTAAAGCAGCTAGATTAGATACATACAGAGCCGCAAATTCATTACTTAGGATGGCTCTAGAAGGAAAGATTTGTCTCTATGCCTATCCACCAAAATGGTCGATCGAACAAGGTAAATAAAAAAAAAAACACACACACACACACACACACAAACACACACACGAACATACAAAAACATATCATTTTACAGCACGTATAGTTTATACAAACGTATTAAAAAATTATGTTCTTTTTATGTAGAAATTTGGGAAAACCATTCTAGTATAAAGGTTGTGAAATGGATTCAAGCAAGAAATCAAGCTGAAGAAAGCTTCTCAGATATGTCTAATTCATCCTCGGATGCTGAAGAAGATGATATAGCAAAGGCTAGCGAAGATAATAGCAATTCTGAGAATGACAGTTCTAACGAATCAGATGAAACGTCAAAAAGCGAAGAGACATATGTAGCATCGAATAAATTCGAAATTTTAACAGACGATGTATAATTGTAAATTTTGGAAATGAATATAATATATTATTTTTATGAAACGCTTATTATGATTACGGATTGTACAATCATTAATTATAGAATGAACTAATTAATAGTAATAAATAAATAGATGTATTAAGGATTAGGGAAACAAATGCAGTTTAGGAATAGAAATCATGATTTAATGGGAAATATTAGAATTAAAAAAGAAACAAAAAAATATTTATTTAACAATTTGAATGAAAAATGAAAAAGCATTGTCTTTGTAGTTTAAAGATCTATTTTAGTAATAATACACAAGACTTCATGACATTTACATTGAATTATCATCATTTGCTAATGCTAAACTTTTACAGAACATTACAATGCAAAAAAATCACGTTTGTTGCTTAATAAATATATGATTTTAATAAATACAGTATTACTTTTTACTATAAAAATGCATAATTTCTAGGACAAAAATAAATATGTATTTGATCCTTGTA